TTGGATCAGGATGTTTACGTGATACTTCCTTGAACAGTCCGTTTATGAAATATTACATACTAGAAAATCAACCAAGGATATCGCCAAATTCATACAATGTTTTAGAGTCATATAAAGCAATTAAGAACAAGGTATCAATAATTATAATTCATAGCATTGGTAATTGTAAGTATTTCAAAGTAAATGTTACATGGATTCAAATTATATATTACATTTCAGCCTTGCAATCGTAGTATTAGTAAAAAGGGATACAGTGGTATCGCCAGATTTGCAACGCAAGTGCTATATAGAGATGATTATCCATCGCCGTTCGATTACAGTATTTCTATGCTCCCTAAACAATCAAGTAAACTGAAGCACTCGTTTAAATATAAATGTAAAGAAGGGTCGTTCGCAGCAAATTCAGTTCCAGGGTAGAATAAAAAAAATTATGAAGGTAACTGTTCCAGTTATCCAATACAGATGAATTAATTCTTATATATAATAGTCCAGGAATGTATGTCAATACTATAGGAGAAGGTATTAGATTGGTGCATAGCTTTGGTGGTAGAGTAAAAATGGAATTTGGTGTGGACCTAAAATGTTGTACTGGAAATGCAGATATCTGCAAACAATGTGGCAAACGAATACTCGACGATTATTGGCATCTAAAAAATAAAATATTCCTATGTAGACTATGCATGGTTAAGTATGAAAATCAAAATAGACATAAAAAATCAAACTTAACATTATTTCGTGTAAGTCTGTAATTATTATAATGAATTATAATTGTTAGATACATATGTATTATATCTGTGTACATACTCATTTTATATAAAACTGTAGAAAATACGAGACTGTTCAGTTATACATCAACATGGCTCAACCACTGCAAAAACATGGTTGATGCATCCTAAACTGGTCACACAATGGATCCAAAGGGAAGCTTACCTGTCTACTTATTTAAAAGAATAAATACGATTAACGCTATCGTGTAACTCCTATTAATATCGAATTTACTCTATGAAAACACAGCAGCAAGGTATACAGAATCAAATAGTATATTTCTTTCCCTTATATTTAAATGCAATTATTTATTTACTAAAATGATTTTCTCATAATGATTTGATTCGTTTCAAATTCGATTAACATTTATACAATTTTTTTCAATACATGCTTATGCTTTAAATATAATATGTACACATATTGTATAAAAAAATAAAAATGTGAGCACGTAAGTAGTCATGTATTGCGCATTTGCTACAACACTAGTTAGATACACCAACTAATTTCGCAACGAGAAATTTGTTGTTTTTTACTTATTGCTACAAGTGATAGATGACAAAGGTTCATGAGAATTTATGGTGTACATTAATAACATATTGTATTATACCAATTTATCATTGTAATATGTATAATGATCTTATTAATTATAATGATTAAAAACAACCAAACTCTTTGTATAGAAAATTATGATTTAATCGATTACTATTATAGTAAACGAGTGACATGTGAGAATGTTTTTATATGTACATGTATAGATGTATTAAGTAAATAAGTGTTCAATCAATATTGGTAATATATAATATACGGCATCATTTGTACCGATATAATTGCGTACACATGATGATCAGTCTCCGTATAATACATATATGTCTTGTATATAAGGTGAATCAGTATGTCATCTATAATTTAAAGTAAGATCAAACGATAGGTGTTATCGATTCACTCTGTAATATTCAAGTATATTACTTTTAATGCTATGCACATAAATGCTTCATAGGCGACAAATGAGTAATAGTCTTCGACATTCAGTCATCAATTACACATATGAAATATTCGGTTCTACTTACTTTAAGAAGTGATTCCCTTAACAATCAAATAATATGCTTATTAATTGTAGTCATTGAAATAATCATTTCATTGAGCAATTAGTTACAACTGTTTGGTGATGAATCTTGATTATCGTCCGTTTGCTGTAAAATTGACTGTTTCGTGATATCTTCCATAGGATTTCCACCATCAGGAGCTTGTCTCGATAATATAAGATCCGATGCTTGAGAGGAAGTAGAGTAACTATGTTCGGTCGTTTCAAGGTCAATATGTTTCACCGAAGTCTGTTCAGGTGATATCGTCGTAGTCGACTCTGTACTATTGCTTATTAATAAGTCGTTGCAACTGACTTTATGAAGAACAGTTAAATTAGTATTATTATCAATGTTTTCTGACAAGCCAGACTGTACTGTTCTAAATAATTCAGCGTCTGCCGATGACGACACACCTCTCAAATTTTCTACGTTACCTAATTGATTACTTGTGGTAATCGCAACAAAATCTTTAGTGTAATGATTATCTAATTGTTCGATTGCATCTTCCTCTGGCGATGTATTCGAATAATACAAGTCTGGAACTAAATGTTGATACAAAAGTGGATCGAAAACATTGTTGGAGTCCATGTGACGAATGTTCGAAGCAATCAGGTAAGTTGTTAATCCATCGCACTTTGATGCATCATTGTTTTCTTCAGAAGTTAACTCTTCACGGATTACTGTCGACATCTTGTTAATAATTTGTGATTGCGACGACACACATGTTTCGCACAAATGTGTAGTTTCATTAGTTGAACAATTTACTGTATCGCCTACAGAAGTTTCAATATCTTGTTCATTCGTATCGCCTGCATCTTTTAGTATTGCACAAGCATTGAATTCCTGAGTACAAGTATTCATATTATTATTCTGCATCAAGTTACTGTTGCTGTTTTGGATGGAATTGGTTAATAAATCGGTATTATTTATTATTGGTGCAATTAAAGACGAATGTGACTGTAGGGGAAACTGTAAAGATAGTTTATCGAGTAAATAATTTATATGTGTTTTTGTTCCTCGTTCTGGGTAATCTGAGGTATTCTTTCCCAATGTTCTAATATTTTGCATTACAAATTCTTCATTTCCATGTTGTACTTGACAATTCATTACATTCTGTTTGTCATAAGAATTTGCCACGTAAGAAGAACCGGACTTCATGTTCATATATCTCTTTGTTTCGTTAATATTAATAAAGGGTTCAGATGTGTAATCACGAATTTCACTTTCGCATGATGCAATTTGATTATCGCTCACCGGTATATCCATAATTTGTAATGATTTTTTATTCGGTTCAAGTACTTGTCTCACTCTGTTATTATCACTAGTTGCGTTTGCAACCAATGTTACTGCATTTGCACTTTTATAATCATTATTCTCTACATCGCTATTCGAGTCATTTAAATCAAATTCATTATCAATGTAATCCTCAAAAGCTGCGTTTGTTACGTCGCGCAACCGTAATTCTAAACGTTGTGTAATTTCATCTAATTCGGTAAGTTTTTTCCTATGAAAAAAAGCATACATTTTACAATGATACGTTACAAAACTAAAAACAATAGTATGAAGAGAAGAAAGAAAACAAGTTTCCTTACTTTAACGATAAAGATAAAAATGACATAGATGTGTCTTCAAGACCAACGTGCGATATGGAGTCAATTAATTGATTTTTAGTGTGTTCTGGTGTTTCTACTTGCACAAGAGTTGATACAGTATCATTTTTCATTGCATTGCTAGTATAAACATCAGGGGCATTCAATGGTAACCAATTGAATTGAGATGTATCGTACATTGGAATTCGTGTTGTACTCAGAGATGTTGATTTCTTGAACAATGATAAATTATCCAATGGTGCTATGGATACCTAAAATATGAACGTTAAAATACATTCAAATTACTAAACGAAGTAAACATATGCAAAGAATTAAATCTGAAGAATACTTTGATTTGTCCTTTGCATTCTCCAGAAAAATCCATTATGTGAAACCATCCGGATATTATTGGAAAACCAGAAATTAAAACTGAAACATCGACAGCAGAAAATCCAATAACAACATCTCTTTCTAAGTTTATTTCCGTGCTTGTATCCGAGTCTAAGATGCGCCAAACTTTTAAAATCAATCTCTTTTCAGCCTAAAAAAATACAGTTTCATAAAAAAAGTGTCAAATTCTGTAGACAATTTAATGATTACGTACACATAAAAGTAATTCTATGGGCAGTTTTACATCGCTTTTCCAGTTCCACTTAGGATTACAACTATGTGGGAAAACATTAGTAATCATGCAGGAATTTAAATGTTTCGATGGATCGCATTTATTAGCCTGAAAAGATACATATGTACTGGGATCAATGGTTTCATTAATCTTTTGTAGTTTTGGTAAATGTAATGCACATTCGATTTCAACAACGGCTCGAAACATTGTTTCATTACACTCAGAACCCATTGAGTCTTCTTCTTCTTCTCTGTGTATTATAGATTGTAAATCAAATACTTTACTGGTATAATCAGTGTTTGATTGTTGATCTATCTCTTCTTCATACTCGGCACCAACACCGACACTTCTGTACGTTTCTGTGGGTAAATGGTAATTCTGTCTAACGCTACTGCTATCGCTCTCGTGATAACCACTATGAAGGTTTAAGTCACTTATGCATATATGTTCTTTTGCATTTATAGGTATTTGTTTTTTTCCTTTTAAACTTATATCATTGTTCGAATCTGCTTTGTCAATATTTAAAACTTCTGTTAAACGGTCCACTAAATTATGTAAAATTAAATCTTCCGAATTCGTTTCTTCTTGCGATATTTTTCTTAATTTTAGTTCTTTAATAGTTGAAATGTCTGTTTGACATTCTTGAGTTTTTACATCTAAACTACACAGTTTTTTCTCTACTGGATCACTAACACAAACAGCGTGACGATTGCTTTGCGAAACTGTTTCTGGATGGTCTATGAATTTGGGCAAATTCTCAGAAGTGTTCAGTGCTTTGCAGGTATTTTGTAAACTTCTTGAAGTTTCTAATAATGCAATTTGTTCTGTAGTTCCAAGAGCTACCAATGCAAGTAATTGACCATGAGATTGACCTGTTATAGGATCAATAATTGGCACCCATTCGTCTACACTTACGACAGGATACTGAAATATTAAAATTAAAGAAATTTATAAATAGGTTAATAGAAAAACACATTTTCTAACATAAAAATTGTATACCTTGGACGACAACAAGTGTGGCAGTACATGCGGATCTCTATACGCAACATATAATGAATGAATAGGCAATTTTGTCAATCCTAATAAATTATCTATATTATTATTGTTTCTATAATAAATTTCAATGATTATATAATTATCTTTCATAAGATTTAATAAGTCAGCATCACAAATGACAGGTACTATCTGAAACATAACGAATACATTATTATAAAACTCATGGAGTTATAAAAATGAAGTAAATGGAACAATTACTTGAGAAAATCGGTAAAACGGATTTTTCGTACTGCTACAAATTCGACTTCTACTCTTATCCTTTGTCCAAAATGCTCTGCATATCAAATAAGTGTTTAATTCCGACAATTCTTTCCCTTCAGCAATATATATGAAGCCTCGAAGTTGATCCTACGGAATAATTGTTCTTTCAACAACGGTAATTTGATACAAAAAATATTTGTGTTGTAATTGTGTTTTATACTTTTTCATCGATATCATTTTTTCGATCTTTTAGAGTAATTTTTCCAGCATCGGAACTTTCTGTTTCATAGCGAGGTACATTAGTTGTAGCAAGTAAATTATTGATAGTAGTTATACGATTTACTTGTGTTGAAATCGATGGTACTTCACTATGTGTTTCCGATCGAATGTCTGTCGCATTTTTATTTCTA